TTTCTTCTCTCCTCCTCCCTCCCTCCTCCTCTCTCTCTCTCTCTCTCTCTCTCTCTCTATAAAATTTCCGCGTTTAAACGAACGAATGATCGAAATCGCGATTGCACGAATTAACGATCGTTCTCGGACGGTTGAATCGAGTCGCGATTAACGTTTTTGTTTACACGATTTATTCAAGTCGAGCTTGGTCAAAAGCGTTTAAGAGGGCCGTCTAAACGACACCGGTGCTTTCATTTCCGACGGGATGTTTGCCGTGGACGCCGCTCGTTCCGTAGCACCGACAGAATTCATCAGAGCTCTGGATATCCCAAGGATGTTCGACGTACAATACATAGAAGCGAAGGGGAACCAGGATTGTTGGCATTGTTTCGAAACGGTTGCCACGATACGCAACAGGTACGCGCTTGTTACCTTTATTCTTCGAAGCGAGCGTTGAATTAAGAATCGCAACGAGTATGCTTTTAATTTTCCAGAGACAAAGACTTTCGGGATTGTATCTACGTTTGCGCGCATCGCGATTCGATTCGATTCGATTCGAAAGACTTGTGAAACAGCTGAAACTCCAAATCCTCGGAGAGATAAAAATTGCTTCGTTCGGGAGTATCGAAACTCGGAGGTATTTATCGATATCATCGCGTATTTTTTGATCGAGAAAGATAATTTGATTATCTATTGCGCGTTCTTAATTAAAATTCTCGCGGGAGAATTCTACACTTTTTATTATTACTACTATTTTCAAGGAATTTTACAATATTCGGTTACGGATTATTTTGCATGCGCTGTGACCAATTGATGCGGAATGTTAATTTAAAGGAATAAAAATAGAATAGACGAGGCGGGATTATTGGGAGAATATCTGGTTCGATCGATTAACGACGAACGATGGCAAACGACTAAAGAGTTTAAATATCTTATAAATCATACGTGTGTACATATATATATATGTATGTATACACACATATATACAACGAATACAAATATTACGAAGCAAGATGGATCGATACATAAAAGAGGTCTGGTGGCGTTGTCTTTCGATATTTATTCAATTCACTCTTCTCTCTTGGTTTCACAATTCTCACAGTGGTATTAATTTCACAAACATCGTTTTTCATTTAGCCGAAGAGGTAGAGATAGAGGGAGAAAGAAAAACGAGAGAAAGAGAATAAGAGATTTACTATTGCGATTCGTCGAACCAATCAAACCTCTTGTTCCCAAAAGTCTTTGTTATTCTGAAAAGTGGGATCAAAGTGTTTTCCTAGAGGATACGAGCAGACATCGTTCTAACTAGTAACGATGCCCTCGTTGTAACGTGATTGCGGTTTTTGTTTGGAGCTTTCCAAGATGCTTTGCCAACGTCCCCGTGGGTTTTCACCGTTAAAAAGTAGTACAGACATTCGTCAAAGGTTTTCACAGGGACGGTTAAAAACTTTACCGGTATTTTTCAAGGAAGAAATTCATCGGAGATACGTTCGATAAAAAAAAAAAAAAATATCCATTTTCGATATTGGCCGTTATCCTTCCAACGTCTCGTTGCGAAGCATCTTGATAAATATCATATTCTAAATTTAAACAAACCGGCTCGAGCATGACCCAATTTAAATCGAAAGGGAATCAAATTAACCTTGCCGTCGTGTCGCTATCTCGTTTTTACTTTACGAAAATTGTTTATTCGATTATTAACGCTTTACCAACGCTTGGCACGGTACACACGAGCGCCAACTTGTAGTCACCGTTTAGTTTTGATAAACGCGCGCTCGACTATTCGCAAACTGGCGCTAAAATTGACTTGGAAACTAAATTTCATATTTATCCCGCCGCTTTAAACGGGACACGCATCAAATATTGTCGTTAGTTTATATCCATAGCGGTTTGGCCGTCTATCGACAATTTCTGAAACCGCTAATAACAGCTGTTCGGTTGACGAAGTGTCAGAGAGACGCGAGGTTCGTTTCGCTGTAATTTCGTTAGGTCGTTAGGCATTTCCTATACGATTGGAAAATACGTATACGTATATATAGACAGGCCACGTGTACAGGCGCGTATATTTCATCGGGACTAATGCTTGTGTAAGCGAAATCGGTTTGCGCGAACCCGTGATATTTCGAAAGCGGGAAATAGACACGACGAGTAATTAAATGGATATGTTTTCGTTATCGGGGAGCTTAGTTTGAATACGAATTAATTTGATTAGTTAGGGAAATATGTGGAAAGATATATTCTCGAACGAGGGATATTCGAGACTCTCTACTAAAGTGCGCGTTCGAGTATAATTTACACGATGAAAAGACCCTTTTGGTTACTACGTACTTGGAGCCCGAGCGTGGAATGGGTCTTGGGATCGCTGTGAACGCACCATCCTCCACGAAACTAACTTCCGTGCTCCTCGTAGCGTCGAATTCCGGTGAACAGCTCCACGTAACGGCGGTGGCCTCCGACTGGCCTTTCCTCGACTTGGCGTATTCTATTACCCTGGCGCCATTGTAGATTATGTCAGCCATACAGCCTCGCAAGTAATCCGTGTGTCCTGCGGAACAGAGACAGAGAGAGAGAGGGAGGGGAGGGGGGAGAGAAAGAGAGAGAAGAGAAGAGAGAAGGAACGTTAAAAATTGAAAGAAAAATGTATTCTCGTCTACTACGTCTACTACGCGTATATACGGATAGAAAAGAAAATGCGTTTGCCTTGCGTTGGTTATCCAGAGTGTAAAATGCGCACTTCATCCCAATTATCGTTAATCCACACAAAGAAACGCAACATCTCGAACGATTTTTACCTCGAGTCGTTAGAAATGGCGAGAGACTTTCCCGAATTGGCGTTTTCGCAATTGCCTTTGAACGAGGTGCTCGCGCGAGCAAATAACGAAACGGGTCGGATATTAAACTCGATGGCCAGAACTCGATTCTTATAGTCTCGCCGGAACACAGGGAACGCGGTGGCACACTTTGGCACCGGTTCACGAGGGGGAGGTATCATTCAACGGCAGAGGTTTTCGCGAAAGAGTGGTGTAATGAAAGCGTCAGTTGCAAACCGCATCGGGGTTGATGGCCAGATAATCTCAGTTTCGTCGGCTGCCAGGGAACGAACTAGGCTATCGAATCCACCTACGAATTGGTGTGCGCGATTCGCCAAATATAATTGGTCGGAAAGATCGATAATCGTCCGCGCGGGATTACTGTTAATTTATCAATTTCGAGCGAACGAGTATCGGCTGTTCCGAAGTGAATCGGTGTTTCGGATCTCGAAGATGGATTTACTCGTGTGTGATCGGTAAGGGAATCGGAGGTGTTCGCTCGAACGAGTCTTATTGTGTGGCGGGCATCGGTCTCCAAGTTGGCTCGATTCGGTGGCAAGACGTTGTTGACTCGATACCTGCGGTGGGAAACGCATAAGCGAAAATTGAAGGGGTGTGTTTTGGGACGGGACTCGGTGATGACATTTTCCGGTGTAGTGGTGTATAAACCTCGGCAATAAACCGAGCCGTTCATACTGCGGTGAATCGTTCGTCCCGCAACTTTGCCGCAGCTATACCATTCTACGTGATCCTTTCGCGTGCTTCACGATTATATTAATTGGAGAAGTTTCGAAAACGGTTTTTCCTCCGGGCGACTGAAGATACCGCGGATAACCGCTAAATGGACCGAGGTCACTGGAAAATGTCCCCTTCGGGGGGGGAGGGAGAGGGAGGGGGAGAGAGAGAGACTCGGAGTTGGTTTTAAGGATCTGCTTGCGAATGAAACGCGGTACAAAACGTTTTGCGGAAGACTCGAGATATAACCCGAGACAAACGAGTTCCGGTTTATATTCGCGTGATTCGTACTCGTCGTATTAATTCGAGGAGGGCAAAACCGCGCGGAGGGATGGCTCCTCGTGCAAGGAAATAACCCGTCGTGGTCGGGAACGATGCGAAATATACGACGTGTTCTTTCGCGCGTTATATTGCGATTTTTCGTCGCCGCGGAGACAATAATATCGGAACGTTGGGAGGATGGAAACGATTTTGCGATCGTGATAGCGACCGTGAAACCGAGCCATAAAATAAATAATTTCCCGTTTCGTCACATTCAAGACTGTTCAATTTATTTGGATGTAACCGTGATCGAATATCTCGCGATAGAACATTGACACCGTCGTCTCGGTATATACTTTTATTGATTTCTCTCTCGGTATTGAATGTGTATCTATCGGCTAGTATTCTCTATATTTTCGCGTAGCCGCGGGAATGCCATTCGATAAATCAAACTCATGCTGAGAATTTCATTTTCGATCGTACACGTATATATATATATATATATATATATATATATAGTAGTAGTAGTAGGTTTTAAGGATCTGCTTGCGAATGAAACGCGGTACAAAACGTTTTGCGGAAGACTCGAGATATAACCCGAGACAAACGAGTTCCGGTTTATATTCGCGTGATTCGTACTCGTCGTATTAATTCGAGGAGGGCAAAACCGCGCGGAGGGATGGCTCCTCGTGCAAGGAAATAACCCGTCGTGGTCGGGAACGATGCGAAATATACGACGTGTTCTTTCGCGCGTTATATTGCGATTTTTCGTCGCCGCGGAGACAATAATATCGGAACGTTGGGAGGATGGAAACGATTTTGCGATCGTGATAGCGACCGTGAAACCGAGCCATAAAATAAATAATTTCCCGTTTCGTCACATTCAAGACTGTTCAATTTATTTGGATGTAACCGTGATCGAATATCTCGCGATAGAACATTGACACCGTCGTCTCGGTATATACTTTTATTGATTTCTCTCTCGGTATTGAATGTGTATCTATCGGCTAGTATTCTCTATATTTTCGCGTAGCCGCGGGAATGCCATTCGATAAATCAAACTCATGCTGAGAATTTCATTTTCTATCGTACACGTATATATATATATATATATATATATATATATAACGTGGATGAGTTTTAACCCTATCCAGACCTTGCGAAAGATCTTTTTTTTCTTCTCTGCGAGGATGATAAAAGCTTTTCAAATTAAAATGGATATAAATTCCGTCTGTTGTAATATAACGCAAGTTATATTTATTATCACAAAGATCGATCGTTTCGTTCCAAAATCTTTTCCAAAGACGAGACGAGTTATTGCTATTGTCGCGATGAAGGGGAAATATTTCGATACGATATCGTGTATGATAATCGCGTTTCGAATTGCAAAGGTTTCGAAACGAAACTTGTAACTTTTTCTTCGATTAACGGTAGAAAAACGTTTAAGATGCATAGATGCAACTTGTCCAATTTTTCCCTCGTCGCCCTTAATCCGCAGAGGGTCGAAAAAGTATCGCGAGTCTCGGAGTTAGATTAACAATCCTATACTCGGTTTCATGCATATTTCAACGAGATGGATGGAAAATGAATAAAAGTCGTCGCGATTCCAACTTTACGGGGCAAACCTTTCTTCTTTCTTCCTCGATTTCGTCGCAGGATTCCAGTTTCCAGGTCTTGTTTTAACGTCGAACGAACGGCCTCTAGAATGCCGTATATACGAAAAACGAAGGAATTGTCGGGGAGCATCGCGAGACGCGGGGTTCGCGTTCGTCCTTTTCCTTCTTCGTTCTTTATTCCTCGACTCGGTTGAATTTAGCGGGGTATCGCGGGACAGCAGGAATTAATAAGAGGTTCTCTGAAGGGGTAGGGGAGCACGGCTATGTCGTACCATGGGGTACAAATGAATTGTCATGAATATGTAAATTGAATTTCGAGCTGGTCGTCGAGCGTTGCACGAGATGCTCGGGGGAATAACGGTGGGGAACGAGCATGGGTGGTACACTCTCTGTTTGTACTGATCGTATTCAATTTGGAACGCGTCACCTCGGTCGCCTTCCGATGAATTTTTGCTTTTTAGAGACAACTAGCCTCTCTACTACTATCCCCCTATCGCGCTCTGCCCTCTCGTGGATCGCGTCGTGCTGCCGTTTTGCTTGCCTCGAGGCAAAACCCCGGATTCCGTTCATTCTACCGCCGCGCGTTACCGATTTTACCCGCGAAAGTAGGTTCGAGAGATACCGAGGGAACCGAGTTCGACAGCGCGGAAACGTGGTAAAATTCGCGGAGCGGAGAGAAGAAAGGGGAATTTCGCGTTTCAAATTCGTAATTTCATAATATATTTCTCCACTTGGATTGGTTTTCATCGAGTATAAATCTCGTCAAAGATAATGGTTGGTTCCGAAATAGCTTTTCATCACCGCGTCGAAACCGATGTTTCTCTCGCTCGAGTAGACACACACTATATATATATATATATACCCGAGATTTCACGATTTCACGGTTACGATTAACGGCGTGGTCGTTGGACGACCGACCTCTCGATACGATTTCATCTTGGTCGATGAAGAAGATCGATGATCGATCCACTAGCCTAGACTAGAAATTAGGTTTAGAGAGAAGAGCCGGTGTCGCGGTGTCCCGTGTTATCAGAATATTCTCCGCGCTAATCTCGCTCAATGACCGTTGCTGATGGTCCACGTCAGTGATGGATGGAGTAAATATCCCTCGTGACGTACACTAAATAATATTTCACTAGATCGATGTCGAAAGATATAGACTGGTGATTTGATATATGGCACGGGAATCAATCTTAATTTGCAATCCTTTTTCTTTTCAACGGTTGAACAGATGTTCGTCCGTCTCGCTTCATCCTTTGTTATATTAACCGTCACGGATCGAAAGTCTTATCTTTCTTTTCCTTCTCTTTTCCTCTCGTTCGTTGTTACGAATGTATATAAAACGGTAACGGTAACCGATAAAAAAATTTGACGTTTCCGAATAGAAGATTATAAAATTGTTGGAAATATCGTCGAGTTAGTAGTATAGGAACTTAGAGTTTAAGATTAGCCCCGTATATCATTTCTTAAATGGATTATTTTATCTTTTTTTTTATCCTCTAGATTTAACCGTACTGTGTAATAACTATTCGAGAACATTCGAAGACGTACTCAGAAATGTTAAAAAAAAAAAAAATAAAATAAAAGGGAATCCGCGAGAATAAAATAAGTTAACTCTTGCTTTTAACGAATTCGGACCATTCTAACGATTCTAATGATTCATCGTGTATTTTTATCCGCGCGATCATCCTCTGCCTCTTCTCTTCTTTTTCTTCTTTACTTTTTTTTTTTTGTCAAATTCGCGTCAATTCATTTTCGCAAACGATCGTACAGGCCAATAGCGTGGACAATTTGAAATCTAAAAATTTTTAGGTGAGAATGCTTCTGGTAAATTCGATTGTTCCATCGTTGGCCTGCGTGTTCCCCGAATCGTGGACTCCGTTGTTTCTATTGTACAGTGAGAAAATCTCTACAATAGAGTGGATATTTCGCCGCAGCAAACGCAAAACGAATATTTGAACTCGGTTTGTTGTTGTCGGATTCTGATCGCGTAACACGCATCTCTGCCTGTCCCTCTGTAATCCGTTTGAAGTTGCGGAAATATGAATTTTTATACCGGCTGTACATTGAACTCAAAGTGTGTGGGACTCGTCAAATCTAGTTACACTCGACTGCGTCGTTGAAATATTTTTCGTCAAACGTCCTTATATTTTGTTTTTTTTTTTTTTTTTTTTTTTTTTATTTCAATTCTAACCGCAACAAATTTTGTCATCGAATCAGCGATCAAAATTTGATAGTGAAATCATAGATAACAGCCGGTAATTTTGAAAATTGTGAAAAAAATCGCATATACGTTTGCATACGTTCAAACGAGAGATACGTTTAGGAAAATGAAATTGTAACTTTGTTCGATACGGAAGAGAGAATATAAATTTTTCGTAGAATGAGCACTTGACGAGGATCGAGTAATAATTATCCGATATATCGGATAGTAAAAATTGAAAAATAATGCGAATATATTCAATTGGTGTGAAAGTTACGTATGGTTTATGTATGGATTCTCGTAAGAAATTTAAATCTATTTGAATGGGAACGACATTATTATGTTTATAATCAATTCTTTTTACGAGGGTGGTACTCTTAAAATATTCTTGTTCGAGTTTCATCAACATCAATTTACATAAAGTAATTGTCGCGCTTGGACGTAAGATATTTCTGTTTTTAATTATTCATATTACATAAATTTAAAATAAATGCAAATATGCAGAATATTTTCCATATTATTATTGAAGTAAATAGCGCGAGCAAATATACGTGTCGATAAACGTTGGTTTATCCCAAATATCGTGATCGAATTTCAAACTACAAAAGTAAATTTTTAATAAATCGTTCTTATTGAGAGATAAATAAAAAGAATGTACCTACATAAACTACATAATGATTTTGCAATATTTATCATTATAAAATTCATAAATGATTTCAAAGAAATGATGGACATACATCATTTATAATGAGGCAAATTATCGTGGCATTTGTATCGACGTTATTACGTCTCTCGTCGATTCACTCAATACGTATCTCGATGAATTTTATGAATAAATATTGTAAATAAATAAATAATTATTGTAATTACGTAATACGTAATTAATATTTAATTTTTCAAAAGCTAAATAGTCATATTATTGTTCGAATCGTCCAGTTTGTGATTTATATTACGGAAAAATAAAACTAACAACGAAACGTATTCAATATTTCTTCGTAAAAGAATTACATGAAATATCGCGAGTGAACTTTTCAAAAGTCCAACAGTTACTTTTAATTAAGTCAGTTGGTTGCTTTTACGCAAAGTAAAAAATAGCAACAAAATCGTTATTCGACGGCGAATCGATTCACCAATTCTTAAATTTTCACGAGTTATTCTCAATTAATTAATTCGTAGCACGGAATTATGCAAGTAAAAATAGGCGCAGTATTTTCGTTCATTCGAAAAGTATTGATCTTGATGAAAATAATCGCGCGAAAATTGTACCACGGATTGATTTTTGAGAAAAATAGTCTTCTCCGTTTACACGGCAAATTTCATTAGAATCGACGAGAATGTAATAAGTTGATGGCATATCTTCTTCGTGTTACCAACGAGACGTAGTAAGCGAGAGTGGAGTCACGTGGCGCGTCGATTTATCCGAGTGAGTCAAGCTTGCCGGTGCGTCTTACCTAGAAATAGCTCGTTAAAATCACCCTGTCCCCCGATGAAGACGCCATAGTGTATATTCAGTTCAAAGAAACGTCCTGGTAGAAGGGATTTGGTCGTGTGTATCACGTCAATTTGTAGGGTAATGTTAGCCTCTCGCCTTGTCAGATTGACCTCGTGCCAGCTCAGGTCGTTCAATGTCAATCCACGAGCACTGGACATCTCGCTTTCACCCGCCCCTAAATTGATATGGACCTGTGGAAAAATCAGAAGGGACCATCCTCTTAAATTATTCCACCAAAGATAGACGGAGACTTTGATGTACCGGTAAAGTTTGGAAACTCTATCGCAAGTTTCTCTCCAAGATAATTACTCTTTGTTGGAAATTTAGATAAGGTAATGCATAAAGGAAAATTATTTTTTTAATGAAGTAAAATTCGAAGGAGGGTGTATATATATATATATATATACTGTTTCGCCTAGAGGGAAACATGACCGAGAAAATACTTCCGAGTATCTCTTCTTGCAACTATTTTGGCGAAATAACATCTTAAGAAATTTCTCCCTCCC